ACGATGTCCGCTTCACTTTTCATCTGAATTGTGGGTGCGCGAACATATCATATGGAAAATTTGTCGTAGCATCTCATTACGCCTCATACATATTTGTTTGTTTTTTTGATTTATCCCATGTCAAGAGTCTTTCTGATTCCAAGTTATTAATTCGCGTCGGCAAGCGTTATATAGAGCGTTTCGTAAGGGCACCACCTACCTTTAGCGAAGTTCATTCCCATTCGGTGTTCCTCGAACGGCACTTGTTTTTTAATTTTCTTAAAAAGCTTGTAACGACGGCCTCGGGCTAAACACCACTTTACACTTTCTCATTAATGATTCACTTGAATTAGAAGTGGATCTTATTATGGAGACGTTTATTGCAATAAAAATCCATTTCGTTCTCGACGTTATTAATGAAGCCGTTGCACCTAAACTTATCCGCATCACTCATAATGATCAATGAATTGTCTCTTCGGGTAAAGTTGTTTGGCGGTGTCCGGCTTTTTTTGAGCTTTTAAGTCACAGCCTATTTGTGCTCTTAGAGTTGCAAGGCACTTTGAGAAGCCTATATTTAATAAAATCTGATTGAGTGATCAACAATCAACCGATAGATTGTCTTCACTTCCTGCGTCTCTTTACCAGACTGAATACTGGTAAAAAATTGAAAATCTTACAATCACTGACAAATTGTGATGAGCTGGATTTTGGAAGAAAGTCTTAGTAAGGAACACTACCTAACCTCATACGGTTCCTTGAGAAACGAAATATTCGATTATTTCTGAAGCTAAGCAAACAATAAAAATTTTTTATACCGCCAGTTCAAGTTCAAAGTCTCCTAATTTTATTTATTTATTTAGCATTGTTAGCTATAAAGCCTACTATTTATCAGCTAACGTTACGAATGTGAATTGTTAAAAAAAACTATATCCTTATGAAGGCTGCTATGTTCAAATTCCTCCGATCTTTTATTACATTGTAGGACCAAAAAAAAAAAAACGATCCAAGGTGTTGTAATTACCATTTCCAATTCAATATAAAACCCAACATGGATTATAAGGAAGATAATTGATACGGTAGCGTTCGAGAGGCAAAGCAAAGCATTGCCTAACAACCTTTGACGAAACGTTAAAAGAGACGTGATCCAACAATGCCGGAGCTGGAAACATCACCCTTCATTAGTTTAGCCATAAATAACATACCAGATATTTCCCTGACATTTTCTGAACCGTCGGTTAATCAATAAGCTTCATCCTATTCTCGCATGGGGATAACGCCATGGACGGATCTTCAGTCAAGTTACGCAATGCAAGGACAGACTCAATAAGTATTACTTAGCGTCCATAGCTGAACAACTGAATATTCTAACCAAGGAAGTATACAACTTTTTCGCAATATACCAAACTCTCTAGACTATCTTTTAATGGGACCCAGAAGAGTTTTAGCTTCACTAACAGAAGTTTCAATATGAACGTTGAACCTGAGTTTAGAATCAAGTTATTAATTGCATATGACATAGGGGCAGCAAGCTTACTCATAGCAATAAGAATTGCTTCTATTTCTTCGAATTCAGTGGCATGCCGTCCATTTCCGATCAGGTGCGCCCAATCAGTCAAATCACCCTGGAGATAAGATGTATCAGTAAGCCTGTCAAAAGAATGATAAACTTTTACATCATCTGCAAACATTTTAAGTGTAGAACTTTGCTAATACAACTAAGAAAAGATCATTTACAAATAGCGAGAAAAGAAGAGGCCCAAGATGGTTGTCCTATATGCAATGCTGATAACACAGGAATACGGCGAGAAGGACAAGAGCAACTTTAGCGAACGACCCAAGAGGTAACTTGATCATATTATCAGCAAAGATCAATCGATTGCGACCTACCTTTGCCTTGGATCAAATAAATCTATTCAAAACCCTATCCGGCTTACGATAGTAGGAAAATCTCTTACAAATACAATAGGAAAGGAAACTTTTCTCTTTTTCTCGTTACAAAATTCTTCTTTTCAATATATCTTATACGATTAATTTTTTTTGTAATCTAGAGATTTTGTGCTAGTTTCAATTTAGGGGAATTATCGAAATTTTCAGAATAAACTGGAAACGCGCATCAGCATAAAATTACAGAATATTTCTTATTAAGAAGAACAAAAAAAAAAAAGGGGAAAACCAGCAGTTATAATTCGCTGAAATACTGCAAAAAAAAAATAGTATCAAACCGATCAACCGAGTAGGCAAACATCAATGCCTCAAATAGTCAATATAAATATTTTCTTTGTTCATATAGTCACGATAGAGACAAAGGTTGCCTTTTTATTTTATTTTGAAATATGAAAAATTCGCAGAAAGAGAAGATCCCGCAAATCACTAATCGAGTTACTTGAAACAAGATACATTTTGCCCATGAATTCAAATTGAAATTGCTTATACCTTGCTGATTTTGTTATTATTACACCACCATTTCGTTTTCTTCCATAATGTATGTAGCAACGAAAAAGAAGCCTCACAGTTCCTGCGGAATTCTGAATTGATTTAGCCATGTCTGTGCGTCTGTGTATATGTGTGGTGTGTGTTGGCAATCTCCTGGTCGCGAAAATGACTTCAAATTTTTCGCTCAGATTGGCATTGAAAATAGATCAAAGCGGTCGGAGCAGAAGCTCGCAGTGGAGTGAGTGAACGCAGCTCACTTTTTTTTAACAAAAATTTCTGGATTATTGCTCGTTACTCGGAAATTTTCGACATTTACTTTACGAAAGAGTCTCCTCTTTAGATCCGAGAATGGAACCAATCGGCCATGGCTACATAAACTTAACCGTGATTAAATTTTATTTTTCCACTTTCTTGAGATTTATCATAAGGCAAAAGCGGCAGAATGTTTAAAACTACTTTATTCACTCCTCAACTGAAGTTATATTATTTATCTGAAGATAGGTTAATCCTAAAATAGATATGGTAGATACCGCGATTACTTCTTTCTTCATAATACCAGCGATGTGGGTGTCAAATAAAAGAACTTGGAGAGTAGAATGCGAAAAACGTAGTGGTGGGTTTGCGAGATTGTGCCCCCGCCGAATATAGCTTTCTTACTGGTGCTTTATCTATAATTCCTCATCTATATTCTAGTGTCTTTGTAAAGGTAATCAGGAAGTTGGAAAAATTTCGAAAAGAAATCGAAGCTACGGGAAAGAAAGATATTTTGGAAGTAAAAGCAAAAAAAATTTTTATATGTCATCGGAATATAATGTTTTCATTGTTGTATTGGCACTTTTTAGAAAAGCGTACCATAAGATTCAAAGGAAATGTGCTTATTATCGAGGACCTGAAAAACCGTTGTATTCTTTGAGTCCTTAAAACCGTTTCATGAAATAAGACATGATTTGCTAACCAAAAATTTCTGAAAACCTAGTTGCTTATAAAAGTGCTGAATACTTTTATCTTCAGTCTACGAACTATAGCGTATGTCCATTGAAAACTGTAACAGAATATTCCATTCTATTATGCTACAAATGCTTTGAATCGACTTACGTCCAAGCTTTTTGTATAAAAAAATTATTGTTTTTTTTTTTTGCCAGTTACCGCAAAGTATTCCTCTGCCATGCAAAGATTATACCAATTTTACTATTTCTTCCATAAAAAAAAAAAAAAACATGGCATGTATATTAGCGATGCTATAAGCGATAAATAATCCTTATAAACTTAAGATAGCTTGTCTACAGCTCCATTCATCCATCCGTCCACGCGTTGCTTGATGGGATTCTCATGGTTGCCAATGCTGAGTTTGATGCAAATGTTCTTAGTTTGGGATGAATGATGAAAATTGAAAATCGTCTTGTCGTGCTCGCTTTAGCTTAAAGTAATATAAAAAAAAGTGACTGAACAACTTATTAGGTATTACCTTAAAGCAGCAGAAATTAATTGGGAAATATTTTGTCAAATGTGGATGCGTCAATTGTTCAATCATGGTCTTTTAACAAGCGCAAGAGAATATTTATGAGAGGATATGAAGTAATATTCAATGGCAGTTGGATAAGGTACTTTTTGCGGATGCAAGCTTGGTGTTCTGTATATTGTATTGATTATCTGCATTGAGTTCAAATGTCAATATACTTTTTTGCTTATTTTGGGTATGGGATATAGGCCATTGAACTGATTTGTAAATTCGATCTCTGGGCGCCAGTTAAAAATGTATAGGCAAAGAATCAGAGAGTTTCGCATCTCGATTTTTGCAATAATAGCGTTGCAATACCACACAATCGACGGACGGACATAGGTCGACCCAGGTTGTTAGAAAAGATTAATAAGAAAAAAGCATTGTAATAATATTTACTGGAGTTTTCTATTCCACTTGTATACTAAAGACCACATTAACTAAGATTGTGTTTTGGCGCGGACTGCTCAGAGATCTGCTCAAAATTCGCTTATTGACAGCTGTTGAATCTAAGAGAGATTAGGTGCGTAAAACTTGGCATAATTCGTCTCCCCCCATCCGTCACCGTCCGACCACTAATTGAAAAAATTTTCAAAATTTGGCACACTATCATACAAAGGCCCGCTAGCTTTTATAATATACAATACCAGGGTATTTACAATTGCGTTTGATGCCATTTCAAGTCACATTCTTGTTTTCGGTTTTTTTTTCTTTAGAATATTTACACGTTCTTACGCTAACGATTTTTGCAAATAACATTCGCATTTCTATTATGTTTATCTGCACACATGCGCATAAATATTCAACACACAAAACAAAACAATGCGATCGGCAAACAACATTTCCTTTACAATGTGCATACATCTATACATCTATACAATGCATACCTATTGCTAGCATGTGTGAGTATGAATGCGTCTATGCATAGAATATAAGTCAGCTAAGCTGGCAAAAATGTATATATACATACTTCCCATTGCCATATATATGAGTACAATATCACAGCTCGTTTATAAACAAAAAGAACACTAAAGTAAACAGTTTAGCGCGTAACAGTTTGAACGAAATTGTTTGTGAAAAAAAAAAAAATCTTTTTGCTAGACCAACAACAAAAACCGTGAACAGTGATTATACATAAACTAATGCATCTGTTCGATTTGGACATTTATGTGCACGAATAAAATTGCAAAACCGGCAACAACAACAACAACAATACTAAAGAAAAAAAATAACATCATCAGCTAAACAACAAAATCGGATGCTAGTGCAAAAAGCAAATGCAGGCAGCAAGAATAAAATAAGTAAATAAAGTAATGTAAAAAAAAAAAGAAGAAAACAAAACAAAACGTGATGATTTCTGTGAATGGTATGTTCGAAAAGAACAAAGCATTTTGCATTCGTTTTTGTTATTGTTATTACTTTAGATATACATAGTAAACGAACAGCTCAGCTGTTGTTACCATTTTGCAAGTCGTCATCTCATACTGTTTAGACGTTAGTTTCATTTTGTCAGTGATAACAAACAGATTTAGTTTTCTGCACTCGAGCGTGTTTACTCTCTTTCTCCCTCTTTTCCTCTCTCTTTCACTCATTCACTCAATCTACTTAGTTTTCTTTTTAAATAAACATAGAAAAACAAAGTATTTAATTAAAAAATAAAATTTTGAAGTATTTTTTTTTTATATATATATATATATATATAGTTTTAAAACGACGGTCGCTTATAGTGCCGCCGCCAACATGAATACCAATAAAGTGGTGCTTCTACGTCACGGTGAGAGTGAATTTAATAAAATGAATTTATTTTGCGGTTGGCATGATAGTCCGCTCAGCGAGAAAGGTACGCGTGAACAAATAAATGTAAACAAAAAAAAATATATATATATATATACATATATATGTAATTGTAATTATATATATATATATATATATGTGGGCGTGTGTGTGTCTGTGTGCGAAAGGAATAATAACAAATTGGTTTTTTCCCAAATTTTCTTCTAAAATTTTTCCTTCACTTTTTTTTTTTTTGTGTTTTTGCTTCGTTTAGGTCTTGAGTATGCTTCAAAGATCGCTGTTGCCGGTTTGCGGAAACATAAAATGGAGTTCGATTTGATTTACACATCTTTATTGCTGCGTGCTCATCAAACTGTGGATGTCATTGCCAATGGTATGAACTACTCCAACTTACCGGTGCGCTGTCATTGGCGTCTAAACGAACGGCATTACGGCAATTTGACAGGTTACAACAAACGTGAAATGGCTGATAAATTTGGCGAAGAGCAGGTAAATACAAATATTAAGCAAATAAAGCTATTTACCAGCTTATATGCGTCTTAGCGCTTGTTGTGAACATTCACTTTCTAAACAATCACAACTAAATATCAGAATGTACGGAGTGGTCAATTAAGTTGATCGGAGAACAGTCACTCGATTATATCACTCGATTTGAATCAAATGTTAAGTTGATATCCAAGAAAATGTTCGCTTTAACTTTTCACTTATTGGAAACGTAATAGGTATCCATTCAAACCTGATTTGCAGCCGATACGTAGTCTAATAAGATCAATTCAGTTTTTAAGTCATCTGTAGCAATCGGGAAAGTTTTGATCTTTGAATTGTTTCACGAAGAAGATGCGGTTACCTTAGCTTATGGGATTTTCATATCTGTTCATATAGAAATACAAAGATAGAAATAATTTTTTAGCCAATAGCGATCATCTTTACGTTGAGTTTTGGAGAAATTCCGATCGAGAAGGATTTTCGAACAAATTTTAGATTGAAATTAAGATTGAAAGTTTGTGAGTTTGGATTTTTTTCGATATTGTCTTTGACCGATATTGTAGATATAGATAGATACAGGATGCAGATACAATTTTCAAATAAAAAGCCTTATCTATTAACGGATTGCTCTCCCGCTTTAGCGGCAATTTCGTTGGGCTTTTTTGGAATTCGTTTTCTTAAGTCCAGCCATTCACTTTTTAATCTCATTTCATTCGGTTAGGAAAGTACTAACGACAAACGATATTCAGAGATGTGTTCATTTGACGATTTTCTTGCTTGCTATAATGGAATATTACCATTAAACCTGATAAACTTGTAAGCTTTGGTGGTGGACAATATATGAAAGTTAACAGTGGTACATGATGTCCGAGCATATCATTGTCCAATATATCCCGCCCTTCGTTACAAGTCAGGGAAGCCCAAGGAGAAAACTCAAAAACATGAAATTGGAAGAAAAAAGACCATGGAGGACTATGATAAGGACGAGATATAGGGGAATATATCTTAAGCAAAGGATTTGTATACCGATATTAAAAACAGGTCAACAATGTTATGTTAGATTGAAAGCCTTGAGTTTCTTCTGATCGTTTAGTATTGAACAGAGATTTATGCCTATTTGTTCCACTTCTGGAAGGGTTTGTGAACAGAATATTTTAAGAAAAAAGGTAGTTGTTCCACTTTCGGAAATATTTATTAACTGATTTGGTGTAGATAAATGAAAATCTCAAATTAATCGACAAACATATCCAACATATCTCTTGATTTTACGAACGGCAAGTACTTGTACTTGGTTTAAGTTTTACGTTAAGAAATATTTAAGATTCTTTCTATATATTAAATGGCGTTTAGGCGACTTTTTCTAACAAACTATGATGTCTGCTAAGAATATATATATTTATAATTTGCAGAAGTGAAGACTTGTTCTTATAATGTATATTATGTGGGATATGTTTACACATATACAATATTATTCATGATTGGACACATTTGTTCTATGTTATAAGAAAATATTGTTGAAAAATTTACTTACCTTTTTATTATTTATCTGTCGATGTAGATATTACACTGTGCTATACCCGACCTTTGCTAGCGACGTGCTTGGAATGAAGAAAAAAAGACTGTTATTGAGATATTCTGACTGACGTAATACTGTAACTTTTTTCAAATCTAATGTAATGAGCTCTTATATACATACAATATATTTTGCATAGAAATAAATGTCTCATGCGATCATTTAAATGTAAGGAAGATTCGGTAGAAAAAAACTCGGTCTTATATAAGGGACTCTATACAAAATGAAATGTACCCATTCTAAAGGTTATGTGTAAATATGTGCTCTCTTCTAAGTATGCTCCTGTCTTTTAACACTATTAGTTGTGTTATTCTGTTTGTGAAAGCCAAAAACTCCTATCAACATTCCTATATAACATGTAAATTCCGTCGGCGTGTTGCCTGGTGGACGAAATTCCACTAATCCATTCAGCTTTGATTTGTAAATTTTGATTTCAATTTCGTATGTCATTCACTTAAGCATACACCTGCAATGCGACAATCTGAAGAACAAAATTTCCCTCGCTGGGGAAGAGGGAACAAAAACATTGTATTATTTTGATATGGCATGTAATTAAGTATTCTAGCCTGTTTCACCTAATACACTACCTTCATTTATTTTCTTGCTCAAATACAAAAAATTATATCTTCTTCCCGTTTAAGTGCATTTCTTTTCAGGGAATCTTCCATCCATCCATATGTATGGCCTATTACTCTGTTTACCCGATTGTAATTTTTTTTTCATTAATATCTTATGAAATGCTTGCTTTACGCTCTCTGCAAGCGGAGAATGTAAAAAAGTTTTCTGAAACTAGCATAATTTCCTGATATTATCATAGGATTGAGTTTAATTTTTTCTTTTCGTCAAAGCAATAATTCGTTTACTTATATCACTGCGAACTTGTTTTTTGGGTTGCAAGCGAACAAGTTGGAAGCACGGCTGATCAGTTGACTATCCTTGTTTTTTGTTACAAAAAAAAAAAAAAATATCCGAATTGTTTTAAGCAAAACGTACTTCTTAAAGTTTTAAATGGTCTTGTCTATATTACTTCGAATATTCAGTCTAAAAATGGTAAAATTTTTCCTTGCCTTGAAAAAGTGCGTCATCTTAACTATAAAATATTTGAAAACATATTCTGATCTTTTTTTAAATACACTAAAAGATCCTCTTCTTTGCTTGATAAGCATAAGACAATAACCTTGGATCTGTCCATCAGTCTGATTGTATACGTGTCGTTGGAGCTACCAAGAGTAAATAGTCTGAGAACAAAATGTTACAATTTTGTATCAATCGCATATTATAATCAAAAAAAAAGAAAAAAAGAAGTTCTTTATAAGGAAAACTTTGCTTATATCATGCACTTATTTAATGCCTATACATGTGTGTATAAGAGAGCGCTCGATTGCGTGTTTGCTTGCACGTATGTTTGTATGTATACCACAGTGCAGATTACATATTTATTAACAGATACAAATTTGGCGCCGTTCGTATGATGTACTCCCACCAAAAATTGTGCCTGAAAATCCTTTTTATTGTAAAATACGTAACAATCCAAAATTCAAAAATATACCGGAAGATATATTTCCCGATACTGAGTCACTGAAAGAGGTTATTGCTCGCGTCCTACCCTTATGGGAATGTGATATCATGAAGGAAGTATTAAAAGGATCCCGTGTATTAGTTGTGGCTCATGGTACTGTGGTGCGAGCACTTATCAAGCATATAGACGGTACGTATAAAGAGAAAAAAAAAAAAAAAATAGAGGAAATTAAGAAAAAATTTCCAGTTAACGTTAATAAAATTGAATTCTATAGGTATTGGCGAAAAGGAAATTACTGAACTTAATATACCAAACAGTGTTCCATGTGTTTTTGAATACGATTTAAAAACGTGCAAACGAGTGAATAAAATGCAATACCTAGCCGATGAGGAGTATGTGAAAAAGGAACAAGAAAAAGTTGCAAAAATCGGAGATTATACGACGGGAAAGATGATATGAATACCTATGCAAAATGTACATACATATATATATTTTATAAGATACGACTTATTTATTTTTATTTAAAGTTTACGAATAATTTCCGATAGAAATACACACATACATGCATACATACATACATACATACATATATATTTATATAAATACGTATACTAAAACAAAGTAGCGAGAAACAATTAACAAATAAAAGCAAAAAATTCATTCATAAGTATTACTATTAAATTTTCTTCAAGTTTGCAAAGCGAATACAGTTTGAAAAAGTAATTCATTCATAAAACCACCATGTAAAGGTAGGCCTGGCCTTTTCACATTCATGTACCTGTTACTAAACGCTAATGTAATCAACAAAAGAAGAAAAACACGCAAGAGCAGTATATATATATATATATATATGGCTCGGAAAAACAACAAACAATAACAAATCATAAGGTGTAACAAATGTAAGTATATTTATGTGCACATGTAATATAAACCATGAACCACCGCTATAGTATCACCAACACCTTCACAAACGAACCTATACCAGTTGAAAATGTAAATAACGATAGATACGAACAAAGATTTCTTTCTCTTTTCATAACGTTTAAGTATAACTGAATAAGTTAGCAGTAGATTCGACTGAATTGTGTAAAGAATTTCATGAATTAGTCTTGCAAGTTTTTTATGTGTAAAGTACGTTTTTAAATTTAAAAAAGCACGAAATAAAACTATAATATTAAAAATTCTTAATTCGCTCACGGATTATATCTCAGGCCTAAAAAAAAAAATTTAATATTTTAAAATTTTGGAATCAATCGTCTTTTCTTCATCTCTAGAGTAAGTATAAATACGCAGTAGAGTAACTAGACGTGTGTAACATTTTATTTTTTTTATTATTGATGCTGATGGTGTCGTATGAGTAATAATAAATATTCCATAACATATACCTCGTGTACATCTTCGTTTGATATTATTGATATAATTTAGCTAGCACTCATACGTCCCGATCACTAATGAGGTGTTGATGCGAATGCTGCGTAGATTAATGTTGGCTCCCCTAAGAAAAATTGCCTTTTGATTAAGTTTGTGCGAGTCCAGAAGGGCACGACATAAAAAGGCTTTTGCTTTATCAATCAATACGGAATTAATTTCAACGTATGTGTTCATCTGCGTATTTACTTGATTCATGTCGATTTTGTCCTAAATTCAAATTGCAGTGTTGCAATTATCAAAATATTTTTTGTAGTTTTGTGTAATCAAATGTCGTGACGCAAGGAGAAACGCTATTAAAAGTAGATTGGATCTAACAATCCTTACGGGTATAAAAAAAAAAGCTTTTCATTTTTAATACTTCTTGACAAAAATCAATAAGATAATTGCCATAACAAATGGATAGTGAAAATTTGTAAAAGATACGATGATGAACGTTTTTACAAAATGTAAATCGTGATATGGTAACAAGTCTAGTTATTAAGGTTTTACGTTTTAAATTTATAGTGGCAGGTTTGGATCACGCAGATCTGTCGTTCGGATATCTATACAGTAAAGCTACCAATGAAAAATGGCGTCTCATATAATTGCAAAATGAAAGTTTTGGCATTTTGTGTGTGTGTGTGTGTGTGTGAAAATTCCTAGTTACTTGGCTATTTGGCAATCGGTTTTACTCCCCTTCCATCTTAAGAGCTCTATACCTATACAGGTTAGAAAACTTTTTGAAATTTTGTTTTAGAGAAGGCTTCTCTGGGTTTTTATTTAATGAAACAAAATATTATAAAATTATTGGCAGAAAACGATTGAGTGGAGTAAAAAGTACAAAGAAGGTAGAGATTTCGCAATTTCGTTATTTCGTCTGTGCATTGCAATACGCAATAGAAACCTGAACGGTCTTACACCAATGATGTACATCTATCGGTTTAACTGCTTTTTGGAATTTTCAAAACCTAAGTGTTCAAGTAGGCAAAGAATCTGGAGTGACAATTCAATGATCGTGGGTTAAAATCCCAAATGAAGCCGATAGCATTAGATGCTTATGCTTCAAGGCTTACATCTTTTAATTTATTTCCATGGATAAATTAATTATAATAATAAAACTTGGCGGATATAGTTTCGGTATTATTTCGAACATTTTCCGCATAAAATAAATCTAAAAAATAAAATTTAGTAAAAATAAACAAAGAAATGCCGACAAAACTTAATAAATGCCTAATAAATTACTATGCAATTTTTGTAGATCGCGTTGCTTTGCGTAACAGTAATTCACTTTAAGACATATCTCAAATTTTCTTACTTCTATTTAGGGAAGCATTAATATACATAGAATTCCTTTCCTAAGTTTATGTATGTAGGAGCAGATGAGATCATTTTTATGCGATTAGGAAAGCTGATAAATTATTTTCATAGTTGTAGTATTCATTAGGGAATACAGGTTTTTCATAAATATTCTACTTCACCCTGCAATTAATCACATGACGACTGTTCAAAGTAAGGCATTGTATGGAAAGCGGCGGAAAAAGTGGTCTGAACCGTTTTTAATAGTGTTCGTCCTTTGGCGAAAACAGGTTGATAGACCAAATTTAATCGAGATATATCAAAAATTGAGAACTGCAGGTTGAACATAAAAATATCAGACAGACATAGTCATTGTAGTCATTGTAGCACAAGTTGTTTAAGGTATAAAAATTATAATTCAGGTTCAGGAAGTCAAAGATTTGCAATCACTGCGAAAGCTAGCAATTGTATTCAAGATTGGTTGAAGAAATGGTTTTGAGAAATGGATTGGAGAAATAGCCGATTAACTAATTAAAGATAGAGCTCAACTGAATATTACTGTTGGTCCGTCCCAATACGTTGAGTATAAGAAAACTGTTTAGCAGATCGTAGTCTTTGAGCAGAGATTTTGTCGAAGGATCTAAAGTCATCTGAAGTCTCAAAGCGTTATTTGGTTAGACTACGTTTAGTTAATGTACGCTCAATAAGGGATATTTCGAACGGCTGTTTATTCTCATCGATACAACAATCGTACTAAGCGTGCAGTTTATAAAGTTGTATAGCCTTTTTGCAGAGATTTACCTGATAATGCATAGCAAAATCAGTTCACTAGATAGCCAAAGTTAATGCATTAGAAAAATCTAACTACCTACGCATACATCATTTGTTTTCGATATTGAATCTAGAACTTTTATCAATGTAGGTAAGTGTAATGTAAGCGTAAGGAGAAAATCAAAGCCAGAAAACTAATAATTGAAACAAGGGAATTATCTTCATGACCGAATTTCGTTTTCAGTAGCTGACCCGATATGAAGAAACAATAGCAACCAATCACATCCAGGCAATTCAAAATTTTAATATTAAGATATGAAATGAGATTAATCCTAGCCGGTTCCACTTGAGAGGCTGAGTGAGCAAAGAGGCGCGACTAGCAACTCAAGGATTATGGGTTCGAATCACAAATGCGGTAGAGTTTTTAATAAAGCAATTTAAAGCCTTAAATGTTAGTGCTTTAAGACTTTAGTCTTGGAATTTATTTTCTGGCTAGATTAATAATAATAATAATAATAATAATAATAACCCTAATCGAAGTGCGTTTCACTTCTACTTTTCATAAAAATATTAAATGTGTACCATGGGTACATTTGTTTTTGTTTATTTTCTTTTTTTCAAAAGGAAAAATAAACACAAGCATTAGGAGCATTATGTTCTCTGCTAGTGAAATCTAAACAAGTCCTATCTATGGTACCTCTTGGTTGCTTAAAGCATGTTGACGTAAAAAAGTACTAACATGCTAAAATTTATCAACACTGTAGGCAAGATAAACCAGATACAAGATACAAATAGGTAACCAGATGCAGATATAGATACAAAGACGCATACCGAGAGAGGGAGAGAGAAAGAGAGAGAGAGAGAGAATGAACGAGAGAAAGAGAAAAAGAAAGTGCCGAAATATGTAAGAAAAAAAATCACTTACAATCGTGAGAGCGAAGTGCAAGCATGAGATATCGGCGGTCATTTGCGGTCTGCACGTAATTGTAGATACGCACCGTAAGTGCCCTGTGTTGATGTATTTCTTAGATACATTTAATTTAGTTGATTGAGTTAAGCGAATCAGTGCAAATATTAATTCACGGACGTTTGCTATAATCGGCACAATTTTATTTTGCTCGTGGTCGTTTATAGAGAATATATATACAAACATACATATATCTATGTATACATATATAAAGTAAAAAAAAAATTTTTGTTTTTTATAAGAAATATATAAATAAAAAAAAAATTATAAATTTAAATTAAGAAAAATTACTATTCAGTAAAAAAAAAAAAAAAACTAAATGAAATTAGGAATGCTATAAAGCAAAGCAATTTTTTTCCTGTAAAATCAGAGGAAAAAAAAGAAAAGATTAATCAATAGCACTCAATGTAAAGCTGCTTGCACAAAGAAGAATTTTTTTTTTTTTGCTTTTTATTAATAATAAATTTAATATTTATATTATTTTTTTATTCTTCTTCATTATCTAATCGTTCCGATGTTATCAGAGTAAGAAAAAAAAAAAAAAACAAAAAACGAAAAAAGAAGAAAATAGTTGTGTTTTTATTATAAAATAAATTGGAGTAAACGAATACAATTACTTTGTGTATGCAGTAACTAAAGCAGAAAAATGCTGAAGAGATGTCATGACATACACTATAACAAGCAATGCAAAGCCGAATCGTACCGAAAAAAAAGAAAAAATATGGTGCAAAAATAGCGTAACAATGTTTGTGCAATGAAGATGATGAGAATGATGACGGTGACGATTACGACAATGACGATGGTGATAATGATGATCTCTTATCATCTACAAGCGCATAAACATTTCACTTCTAGTTAAATACATTAAATGCTATCTTATGTACCGAACGAACGAGCAATTGATGAATATATTTTTATGTGAATTCAAATAAATAGGCTTCGATTGCAAAAAGAGAAAACGAAAGAAACGTCAAAGATAATTAACCCCGTTTTGTCTTCAGCAAAAAGACTTCCTACTGTTCCTTCTCCTGTTCATTTTTGTGTGAGCGAAGCAATCGAAAAAAGCAAAAAAAAAAAAAAGAAAAACAAGAAATCGATTTTCCTCTTTGTATTTTATTTGTTGTTCTTGTTGTTATTTTCGTATTTATATCATATAAATATAAAAGTTCGCTACTCTTTTGCTTAAGTGTACAAAAGTTATTTTTAAAACACCACCCAAAACACCAACAACCAAAAAAAAAACAAAAACAAAAGCCGTCAATATATTTAACAATAACGACAATGATGTTTTTACAAATTATCACTTGTGTTAAAATTGAGAGTAAAACGAAAACAGCCAACAAATACAACGCATATGCCGCGCATTGTGACTTCGATGAATGCCATCATAAATGCAAGATACACATATAATTAGGTAAATAAGCCTTTTTTTTTTTTTTTTTTTGTGTTTACACTCGCAAGTTATTATATTGCAAAGTGAAGTACAAAAAAGAATAAAAAATGTTTTTTTTTTTGTTTTTTTGCATGACTCTGTTTATATTTATGTCTACCTTCAAGTGTATAAATTGCTTCAGTGTGTTTACTTTTTAATGAGTTCATGCACTTATGATTTCTTAATTAGATTCGTATTCCAAATGTTGCCCAAGTTTTTAAAAGAATGATGCAATACACATCGAATCAGTTAGAAAAGGCGAAGGCTTGGTTCTTAAATGTTCTTAACGTCTTTTATAAATGTGAAAGTGCAGAAAGAAAAAGAAGTCACATTGCGTTGGGATTGAGTTTTGTAATACTTGCTATCCAACACGATGTCGCATTATACAGTTATCAGTTACGTTGAAAAAACAAAGAATTTTATTATAATTATTGCACTCTTGTCTCAACGCAATAAAGCAAGAAATCTCTGTAAGAACCACTTTCCAGGCTTAGATGGCAGTCGTAAAAAGGAATTTATCAATATTCTAAACATCGGTTACATACTACCTTTTTCCAAGTTATCACTTGAGAGCAAGAAATTGTATATGCCTCGGATTATCTTTGAAAAAATTTTCTACTTGCGTATGGAGTAGTATCTTGCATGCGAAGACATTCTCAACCACTTTGAATTCGGTTTCAGCTCTGCCCAAGACAACATTCTTACCTTGTGGTCCGCAATCAACTTAGCCCCTTGGCAAGAAACACGTTCTCATTGCCTACTTTCGGGACATAACATTAGGTGTTTCTTATGATTCTGTTCACATTAGCACCTTAAGGCCTATCTTATTCTCTTTGGAACCCCCCAAGAATTTTATCTCTCTTTGTACGAACATTTTAATTAGCAACAATGAGGTGATCGTGCGCAGGAGACTTAGCACAGGTGTTCCCCAAAGCTCCGTTCTAAATTGTCAGCTTCCCTCCGAAGAATATCTCAGTTCTTGGTTATGCAGGCGACCTGCTCATTTGTAGCGTTCATTCTGATTCAGAGTTGTCCAGACAAATAATACAATCCGTCCTTGATATTATTTCCTATCGCTTTTAGTCTCTCCAGCTCACGCTCTCAATTAATAAAATTAGGAACGTGGTTTTTGCCAAAAAAAGGAGAAACTCTATCGTTACTCCACTTTCATATCAAGTCTTCCATAAACGGTTCGTGAAAATCCTTGATCTTTTGGGTTTCTTCCACATTCAAAACTCTCTCCTGCTGCTTACGTTGACAATATTATCGAACAAGTAACTAACGTCCTGACATCCATTTTTGGTATTTCTGGGCGACTCTTCTTTTATCACCCTCTCTAACTACATCACGGACTAATAAGGCTGAAACTTTTCTTGATCTGTTCTTGCGATTGCGTTGAACTTTTGCACTATCTCGGAAGATTGCCAATGCAAATGCAAATACTCAGCGGAGATATCGAACTAACTTCGAACATTGAACAATGACGTCATGCCTTCGACAGCTCTTCCAAATAAAGTTCTCATTTCAATAATGGATATTGGATATTGTAATACATTTGCATATTTCATTTAATATTTCGCTTTTCGTAAATCTTTGATCTTTGAAAGGGAAATTTTGATTGAAGTGATAAAGTAAAAGCGCCTTAGTTTTTGGCCGATATTTGCGAACTGAAGCTGAAAGCACTGTTAAGCAATTAGTTAAGATCAAGTTTTGTTTCTGTTTACGCGAAACAAAACGGAGTGTTCAGCATAAAATCAATATTGCTATTCCCTAAATATATATACAATGCAGGAACGTCGCCAATGCGTATTTCAACAATTTCACAAATAAACATATCGCATGCGGGCATATTTTTGGTTTCCTTATGAACTCTTAGCGCAATGCGAACAGAATTGCAAATTTAAATACTTTGAAGAAAATAATTGAAAAGTTAAGTTTAAGGTATGACTTCGAAATAAAGCTCTGATTTCATGGGCAGTAGTGGCAGAGTATTTTTCATTGGGAATTCCACCAGCTCTTTTAAGCGATTAAGTATAAAATAACACCGGTTTGTATTAGGTGTTTGCATGTATTTTGATCAGTTTTTCATTTTCACTGCATTCGATTTTAGCAGCTCGTAATACACCAGGCTTTGCTGATCCCATCACATGCACAGCAAAATTTTAGGGGCATGAATATTCCGCTTGGGTGTCAATTTGAATGGCTCACGTGGCTTAAGCCAAAACTATTTGCGGTTGAGATTATCGTGATCATCACCATACGCCATACGCTTCGGCAGCAGGCGTCTTCAAAACGAACAACAAAAGTAATGAATGTCGAAATGAAATTTTGAGCGCTCCATGATTAGCGTCTGTGCACAGTGAAGAACTCAATAATACTGAATGGAAAACTGTTAAGGTCAAAATCATCGTATTTAACCGTTGTGTACATTAATACTTCGCATTAATTAATCATTTTCACTAATAGATGTCGTTGATCAAATTATATTCAAGCTCCTCTGAATGAAAAACATATAACTTTTCCATTTGGCAAACAGTCGAGGCCTGTCGTTAGTCGAAGCGTCTTAGACCAGATAGATTTTTTTTTTTTTCGAAAACGATATCAATTCGTAGGATTCTTGTTTTGTTGATCCAAAAAAGTTCAAAAGATCTTCAAAGGCCAATGAAGATAACATTGAATCACTGGAAAGATTTCATTATTAACCCAAAGATTTGGAATGAATTTCTTCTGCTGAACCTGCCTCTCTGCATAAGTTTTGCGAATTACTTCGGATGCAATCCTTTTATTTGCTTTCTTAGTTGCGTGTAAATTGCAACTTTTTCGATTTTGAGTTCATTCAATGCAAAGGAACTTCAAATTGTTAATGCAAAACAAAAAAAAAATTAAAGAGAGAGAGAGTTAAAGAAAGAGAAGGTAAACTTTTTTGATCAGACAAGTTATAGCATTTTAACCTACATTTCATATTTTTTACTTTGGTTTCCATTAAGTGCATTAATACACATACATATGCATTATCAAAATCTAGTTTTTAATTTTTCTATTCGTAGGCATAATACTTTCTCATTCATTTCCATGAATATTACAAACAAACTTTATGTACATATTTTTAATAGCGGTTTTTTAAAGCAGATATATATATATAAAAGTACTGCGATTTGTGTGTAGATTGCATTAAATATTCGATGATAATTAGAAATTAACTTTTTCGATTTTTTATTTATTTCGAATCGAAATTTAGAATTCAACTATATCTCTAAACGATTATTATATACTGTATCCCTTCAGCTACGGAGTTTATTAGGTACAGATTGCAGTGGGTTAGGTTTGCGCCGATGTACGTATTATACAGAACGGGTTGAGATAGACCCTTTCATCCTTCACTATATTAATTAATTCAGATAATATTCTATCTCTCCGTCTGTGTGCCGATATATTAGTTTGGGGAAAAAGAAATCCATTATTTTTTCGGTAGATGGCTGCACGGATAGATTTCTCGTAAAGTATCGATCAAACAATTTCAGATTTATGCTCGTTGGAAAGGTGACATTTCGCAGTAAAAAAAATTCTTTTGCTGTTTTTTGTTTGGTGCATTCAGTTGTGAGTTACAGCGTGTTAAAAATGGAAGTGAACAAAGAGAAAATTCGGTACATTTTATAGTTTTTCTTTGACAAAGGCGAAAGTGCAAGCCAGGCGGCTAAAATTGTGAATAGTGTTTATGGTTCCGATACTGTAACAGCCAATTATGTGTAATTTTGGTTTCGTAGATTCCGTTCAGGAATTTTTGATGTTAAAGATGCACCTCGCAGAGGTAGGCCGGTCGTCGAAAATGTTGATAAAATCGGAGAAATGATTGAAGTTGACCGGCATGTTAGCAGTCGTAACATCGCCCAGGAGCTAAAAATCGACCATAAAACAGTTTTAAACCATTTACACAAAGCTGGATTCAAAAAGAAGCTCGATGTTTGGGTGCCACACCAATTAACAGAAAAAAACATGATGAATCGAATTTCCATTTGCGAAGTCCGCCAAGGCTGAGATAGACCCATCTCTTAAACGGATGGTGACTGGAGATGAGAAATGGATCACATACGATAACCCTGTGCGAAAACGATCGTGGTCAAAGAGCGGTGAAGCACCTCAAATGGCCAGGAAGGTTTTGCAATGCATTTGGTGGGACTGGAAGGGGACTATTTATTATGAGTTGCTTCCATATGGCCAAACGCTAAATTCTGATCTCTACTGTCAACAACTGGACCGTTTGAAGATAGCGATTGACCTGAAACGGCCAGAATTGGCCAACAGGAGAGGTGTCGTGTTCCACCAGGACAACGCTAGGCCACACACATCTACAGTGACTCGCCAGAAACTTCGGGAGCTTGGTTGGGAAGTTTTAATGCATTCGCCACACAGTTCGCACTTGGCACCAAGCGATTATCATCTTCTTCTTGCATTGCAAAATTTCTTTAATGATAAAAAATTGGAATCTAGGGAGGATTGTGAAAATCGACTACTAGAGTTTTTTGCAAATAGAGACCACGACTTCTATGAGAGAGGCATTTTGAAGTTACCTTTAAAATGGCAACAAATCGTACAATAAAACGGTGCATATTTGACCCAAATCGGACAATCCGAAGCATGTTAAATAAAGTCCTGAAATTCATATAAAAATAATGGATTTCTTTTTCCCCAAACTAATATTTCTATGTTCAATCTGCAGATCACAATTTTTGGACATATTTTGATGAAATTTAATACACTGGCACATTTTCGACTTTGTTGTTTTGGCATACTAAGAAGACGTGACAAATTTATATAGAATCGGATCGTTTTACGTAAAAACCTTTAACTGGCAACAAAGTACACATTTTTAGCATTTTAGGATGCAAACAGATGAATAATTATCAGGGAACGGTGAACTTTAAACATTTCGGTTCTTCCGAAAAGTGATTCTATACATGTCCGTAACGTATCATTATTGATAT